TTTGACAACTTTCACATCATCTGGATTTTCCCCTGTGACGGTATTGAGATACCTTATCGATGCTTCATACAAAGCATTGGTGAAAGTACTTTTGCCAATGCCAGCACCTTCACTTAAGAATAATCTGAGAGGTTCATCTTTAGTTTTGATTGAATGTAACACATGGTAAAAAAACTCTCTTTGTTTTTCATTCAAAGAGCAGACAAGTGCATAATAATCAACATCAGACATGCACTTTATAAGAAGTTCTTCATCATCATTATTTCTAGGGAAAATACTTATATCATCCCACAAATCATACTGGCTATTTAGCTTGTTTTCTCCAGGGTCAAAGCAACCAAATATTTCACTATACTTCTCCTTGACAGCACAGTCCTGCTTACTGATATGTTCTGCATTTGGAACAACATTGTCAAAGTTGTCAAATTCAGAATTATTCATATCATTCATTGCTTTATCTAGTATTTCTGAATGGTACTCATATTGGTGCCTATTGTAGAGAACTTCATTCTTAACTTGCTCAAACCATTCTTGGTAAGTTTGACAGTCTTTACTTAAATCAGTGCTTTCCTTTTGCCATGGTATATGAAGCATTAGCTGCTCTCTAAAATGGTTTTCTGGGTCCTTATCTTTATGGTACCTGACAGAGTGGATTATTTTGGGTTTTTTTCTTTTTACTAGTTCCATACCTCCTTTCAGTTTGTACTCATTTGGTCCACATTCACATTCAATGACAACAATGGTCTGTGTGAAGTCTTTCAGTCTGCCTACTGTGCTCACCATAGCACCGAAACGGCTCTTCTCAGAGTCTACAATGACATTGCTATGTCCATTGACAATCAAAAATCTGTTGTTTTGGTTCTACTGGACCTGTCTGCTGCTTTTGATACAGCTGATCATTCTCTTCTCCTTGCTAGACTATCTACCCATTTTGGCATTTGTGACCAGGCACTGGACTGGTTTCGTTCATATCTATCTGATCGCACTCAGTATGTCAGAATCCAAGATGTCTCTTCTGATGTGCATGCCTTACCTTATGGTGTACCTCAGGGTTCCGTTCTGGGCCCCTTGCTGTATTCTTTGTAAACTTCCCCTTTAGGTGATATTGCAAGATCTCATGGTCTATCTTATCACTTTTATGCTGATGATACACAGCTATATTTATCTTTTGAAACGTCATTGCCTGAGAATATGTCAACATGTACATCTGCTCTTGAAGACTGTGTTAAAGATATTGACCTTTGGATGTTAAATAACAAGCTGAAGCTGAACAGTGGGAAGACTGAAATTATAGTTTTTTCATCCTCCTATCGCCCACGTCCTGCATTAACAAACCTGGTGATTGCCTCTGACACTGTTGACTGTTCAACTACTGCTAAAAATATTGGAGTTATTTTTAATAACTCTCTATCGATGTTGCCGCACGTTACTGCTGTTTGCAAGTCTTCGTTTTTTCATTTACGCAATATTTTTAAGATTCGCAAGTTTCTTTCTTACGATACATGTAAAACTCTAATTCATGCCTTTGTTACTGCAAGGATCGACTATTGTAACTCACTGCTCTACGGTCAGCCTAAATGTATCTTGAAACATTTAGAGAGTGTCCTAAATAGTGCTGCTAGGCTTATTCACCTTACTAGTAGATATGAGCATGTTACGCCGTTGCTTATTCAACTTCATTGGCTACCAATTGAACAAAGAATAACTTTCAAAATTGCAGTAATTACATTTAAGGCGCTTCATGGTGCTGCACCTAGCTATATCACTGATCTCATCAAGCCTTATACACCTGGTAGACTTCTAAGATCCTCCAATCAATTTTTACTTTCTACATCTAAATTTAATCTTAAAACTTATGGTGGCCGGTCTTTTACTATTGCCGCACCTTCTGTTTGGAATGCACTTCCATTCGAACTTAGATCTTGTAATTCCCTTTCTTCTTTTAAATCTAAGCTCAAGACGTGGCTTTTTAAAATTGGTTATGATGTTGTATAGAATGATGATGTTTTTATAGGATGACTATGTAGTTTTGTAGTTTTGTAGGTTTAGGATTTTGTTCTTATTTTTATTATGTAATGCGCTTTTGGACCATTGGGAATTTTTATAGAATGACAATGTAGTTTTGTAGGTTTAGGATTTTGTTATTTTTATTATGTAAAGCGCTTTTGGACCATTGGGAATTAGCGCTCTATAAATACTGTATATTATTATTATATTATTATTCAATGACATTAATATTATAAGGGTCCTCATCAGTGTTGTCTTCAAAATTAGTTTCTGACAGAAAATCACCAATGCCTGTCAATGTAGCAGAAAATCACCAATGCCTGTCAATGATGACTCATTATGATTACTAGCACTGCTGCTATCCATTTGGTCATCTTTAACATAGTTGAACCAAGCAACAAAGTTGGCCAAGCATAATGTTTCGAATTGTTTTGGTCTTCTTTGATAATGTTTAATGATATTGTCAGATTCTATGTCAGTTGAGTTGTCAGGCAACCGTTTGAGTTTATCTAATTTCTTTAACAAGAATGCCCTTTCATCTGGGGGTGAGGTGCTGATAAATTGCTAATCACAAGAAGATCTTCTCAACGGCATTTGCAATACAAGATACACAGCTTCTCAAGCACTAATTTCAACTGCATTTAGAAATTTGTTTCCAATGTGCCTTACTCTATTTGTGATGTCTTTATTGCCAGAATTAGCTTCTTCAGATGCTTTTTAGGAGTCTGCTCATACCTCTTTGCCCGTTTGTAATATAAGACAGTATGTATGTAGCACATGCATAAGGATCTAGTACATATTGTATGTCCATGTTTGTTGCCAGGCTTTGAGTAAATTAGTGTTGTAACTGTTGATCCTTAATTCTGATGGTGCCCTTTTCAAAAATAGTGTGTCATGCTTTAATGTGTATCTTATAGCCAAATCAATTGTAATTTGCTGAGAAAATCTTCAGAACTGATTTCTTCACTGTATCTCATGTTGTCAAGAACTTCTTTTATTTGTTTGGCATTTTCTTCAGTCAGTTTCTTGTTCTCTTCATCAAAGCAGGAGATGTCAAGAGGTGTTAAAATCATTGTTCTTGGCATTGGTGGCAAATGGGAAGTTAAATCTACCTGTACATATCTTATGTCCTGCCTTCTTACATGTCTTAGCATGTCTGTGCATTTGTAAGTTCACAAGCTCTTCCATTTCACTTGAACTGTCTGATTTGTGGCAAGTGATAAACTTATCAACAAAGGTGACAATTTCTTCATTAGAACTTTTTTAATACTCTGGGGCTTCCTTTACCCAAAATAAACCATGGATATGTGGGCTTCCTCTTTGTTGAAATTCAACTTTGTAAAAATAATCAGCTATTTCTCCTATTGGCATTACACTGCTCTTTAAGACACCACGAATAAGTAGCTGAACTATGTGCTCAAAGTTTCTTGCACAAGTGACTGGATCTTTTTGTATCAAATCTGATTTTTGTTACCAAGCCATTTGTTTGATCTCCTCATCAGTATACTCTTTCGTCTCTACAATTCTACCTTAGGTTTTAAGAAGATGAGTCCACATTGTTTCAGCAGCTGAGAAAGAAAAAAACCAGGTAAGGTTGCCTGGTTGATGAATCATAGCAAACAAGTCTCTTTTGCATTTTTCAAAGTAAGGTGGTGAGCCTCTAATGTTTCTTAAAACTCTGAAACCTTCATCAAGATGTACAAGCCTATTAAAATAATCATCTGATTTCAAGTCACCAGCAGTGTACTTTGTCCCTTTTGTCTTACATTTTCTGAGAGAAATGCAAGCACTATCTTGAATTTGCTCCATTTGCAGTTTATTAAACTTATAGAATATGTTTGGCACAGACTTTGCAACTCTTCTACCCTTACATCTCAACTCCAACTTAACAACTGTACTATATGATACTGGGACCTTTCTTTCACTGTTGTCAGGTCTTCATTTTTCACAGAATATTGTAGAGGATGAAAGATATTCAGAATATTTATCCATGAATATTCCTAATGGTTTGTTTCCTTCTCCAGGCACAAAAGAAATAATTCTATCTCGGAGTCCATTTCCTGTTACATCTGGTTCCTGCAGTAGTATATCTGTTACTCCTGAAGGGCATTTGTCAACTTCTCACCAACCATCATTTCAATATTTTTCATTGTCCTGATTATCAACATTAGCAGGGGAAATATTGTTTTGGCAATTTGTGACAATTTTATTGCTTTGTACGCCAGCACTCAAGGCGTCAAGGTTTTGAACAAATTTGGTCCAGTCTTCATGGGCAACTGATTGTGGACTGATGTTATCTACCCATGCATTTTGCACTTCTATGCCTTCACTTTCGAATAAATTGCTTGTGTCTAAAAAATATTTGGCTGCATCTAATACTTTTTTAGGTCTAACATTCTGAAACTGATAGTGGTGCTTAATTGTAAGTGAGATGCCTTTTAAGTTTTATTGGAATGGTTTGTGATTCACTTATTAGCCTTGGGAGACAATGAACAGTTGAATTTACATCACTTGGTACATTGACAACGTTTCCATGAATAGACTATTGACCACCTCTAGGTAGTTCACGGATTTGCATAAAGGGTATACGAGGTGATATCAGTCGCTCTTCTAGTGATGTTGAATTCAATACATCAGGCCTGTAAGGAAAACCCATCTTATTGGCTTTAGAACAGTCGGGTAACTTGCCTTTCTTCAGGTTTGAATCACAAGTCATGCAAATCCATTCCGCATTATCAGCACTTTTAAAACCAGTAAGACAGGACTCAACAACTTCTGGTGAACATACCTTATATTTGTTTGCATCACATTTCACTACAGAGCACTTATACCAAAGTTGGTCACAACAAGTGCATACATATTCTGGGCCATGTGCAATGTTTTTGTGAAAAAAATTTATCATACAAAATTGAGTTACATTTGTTTTTTCTTGTGTCAGCACGTCACTGCTGCATGTTAGTTGTGATACACTTGGCAGATCATGAAATGGTGTTTCAGTATCTGTTTCTGCTTTTTTTGGAATTTCTATTTACTTCTTTGATGTGTTGAGGGTTATTCAGTTTTTGTTTTCTGGCCACTTGTTTGTTAATTTCCCTTATGTGCTCTGCATTCTCTGCTTTTCGTCTTCTTGCTGTCTGTTTATTGATTTCCTTAATATGCTGCAGGTCCTCTGCTTTTCATTTTCTCACTACCTGCTTGTTAATTTCCCTTATGTGCTCTGCGTTCTTTCTATTTTGTTTTCTCACAGACTGTTTGTTCATATCCCTTATGTACTCTGGGTTCTCAGCTTTTGTTTTTCAACAGACTGTTTGTTAATTTCCCTTGTGTGCTCTGGATTGTTTGCTTTTTGTTTTCTTACAGTCTGTTTGTTAATTTTCATTATGAACTCTGGGTTCTTTGCTTTTCATTTTCTAAAAGAGTGACCCTCAATTTCTCTGACATGTTCTAGATTCAGTTTTCTTTTTCTGGCAGCATGGTTTTTCTTGTTCCTAGTTGTTTTGCTAATAATGCAGCTGCTTTGCAGCACGTTACCATTCTCAATTTTTCTAAACTTCTCATCAGCTCTTCTTTCATGTATTCCCTCATGTAGGCTTTTATGTAAGTTTTACGTTTCTTATTGTGGTCAACTGGATTGTTTTAATCTGCATTTTATGCACATTTGCTGTTGTTTCCAAAGTTCTACTTTCAAATATGGAAACATAATGAATTTCATCTGAGTGCCCAATGTAAATACTTAGGCCATCTGCATTCATTGGTTCAACAACAGTAACAGGAGAAAAAGTTGGATTTGATTCAGCAATATGCATTGATAAATTAAGACAATTGGCAACAGCTTGAATTATAACTGCATCAGCCCATGTTCCTTGACATGACAATCTTTCCAAATAACCTTGCCAAGAATGCTCAGTGTTACTCTTTATAAATTGCTCAGGGTGATGCACTAAATACTGAATGCCAACACTGCGTACGTGAAAATGATTATTGGGATTGCCATAGAGTTGATGTGATACAGCCCTGAAAAAGCAATCACCATCTCCTCCAACATCAAGTGCTATTCTGCCGAACTGAGATAATCTGCTTTCTAATAGAGAAAACAAATTTGTGGCTGATGTAAAAGGTACTTGATTGTAATACTGATTTGAAGGGCCAGGGTTTGACTCCATATCTCCATGCAATGATATGATTCTGCTTGATAGATGATAAGTTTTCATATGGAACTGGCTTAATTTTCCAAGTTTTCCTTCAGCATACATACAAAACAAAGGTGACTCTTTTTGCTTTAGTATCCTGGTTCGAACAATAAAGAAACTTTGCATAATGAAACACTTCTTTGGGAAAAGTGTGAAGTTTGACCTTGTATGTTGCTCAAAGAAACCATAACGATGATATCCACACAACATAGCCTTTAGTATAGACGATTTTGGGACACATTTCTCAACGTATAATTTCACTGAATTTCTGGGGTTTTTTTTCAGTTAGTCTGTAAGGAATTCTGGAGGGTTCTCTTCCACGTCTTAATCTAAAATGAGAATGGGAGACAATGGTTCCTCTAGATTTTGCGTACATTCAAATTTTCATCTGCATTCCTGTACTGACAATTACTTGACATGTGGACTAGTATTTCATTTTGATACTCATGTTCCTCCTCAGTAAATGCGTAAACTGCTCAGGAAATGTAGGATTACCTTTGATAATGATTTTCTCCTTAGTATTCGGGTTCATTGCTTTCTCCGTTTATTTCAGTTGGCATTCAGATAATGGATCACCTGTGAGGCATTTGTTATTTGGCGTATAGTATATTTGGCTTTTGTTTGACAATGTGTACGAGCTCTATGGCTGCCTCGCTTTCCACAGCTGTGGCATCAAAGACCCAGCGAGAGGGCAACTCAACGTAAGCTTCTTCGAAGCTGTACGTCTCCTGGCCTAGCGAATTACCCTAGCCAGTCGAGGGTTCCGATAATGCTTCTTTCCCCGAATATGATAGAGACTTGTTATGAGCATTTTCTGTGCAAATTATATCCATACCACTGATATTTTAAATCGCTGACTGAAATCAACTCCGCAAAGAGACGAGCCGCACCATACTAAATGGCGAACAGCCGCATTTACATCAATAAGAAAAGCATGTGCTTTGTGATGTGACATTTTCCAAACAGCTTCAGAACAAATGGCGAAATCTTGAAGTGTATTTACTTTTAAATTATATGTCCTGCGAACATGTACAAAATGCATCAAAATAGAAGGAGGAAGGCTTACCTTTTCTCCCAAATGGAAAAACGTTCGTTCCATGCCCTGTATTCTTCATGCGCGTGATCGATTCCTCGTCGTAAAAATAAACTGATGTATCTGATCAAACAGCTATCTATAGTTGGCACTGTGTCATCGTCGCTTTGAAGACTTTGAAGCCATTTTCTTTCAAGTTGGCTATTCTTCCGCACATTTCCTCTTCGTTTGTGAGGTATACAAGGGTGTATTTTGATCAAGGGTGGAGCGAAAGGAAGGAAAATCACTTTGATAGTTTAAGCGTCCATACATCGACAGACGCCATTTGATAGTTATTTAAGAATTTGTTTACGCTTTGCGTGTGTTTATCGAGTTATGGTGCACGCGGGAAGTTTGGAGAGCTCGAAAAATGCGTAAAAGTAGCTCGAGGCGCAGCCGAGAGTAACTCTAGCTTTTTGAGTGCTCTCCAAACTTCCCAAGTGCATCCATAGCTCGATATACGCACAGCTAAAAGCATGAGCAAATTATTTTATAACAGAGCGACGACAAGGATCTGCGCGAAGAAGCCTCTATTGTGATAGAGTGCAAAATTCTCACAACGCACAAAAAAAATATAAACAAACGTCCTTATTGACTGGTCAAAAACACGCCCATTTAATACTTTGGTTTGAGCGAGAACATTTGATCCAGTTAACTGATAACTGTGAATGAAAAGCTCAAAATTTACGGGGAAAATGGAGAAAATCAAACCCAAATGTCATCAAGTGTCACTAAAAAAAATTGCTCACGTCATCTTATCTACGCACGGGCGTGCGTACATAAAGATTTTGTTCCTAATTTAAACTCTCCATGTACTCGGGCAAAAATTTTCGCCTCTGTCCCACCCTCTAGGTATATGAACATGAGACAGTGACACGACCTTGGAACAAAGTCAAACCTAGTAGGGGAGGCAGAGGGAAACACGTTTAATGCATAAATTAATTGTCTAACAGATTAAAATGGAGTGGGTGAGTAACTGAGTGAGTGAGTGAATTTTGCGTCCATACCTAAACCTCACGTATGACTTACGTCATACCATGACATAAAAAGGAAAGAAACATTTAAAAGAAAAAGTCAGCTGAAAGATTAAGGGGAGGAAACATGTTTCTAATGTTCTAATGTGTCGATCCGTGATTCGAATTTTCAACTCCTCCTCCCCCGGGCAGCCCCCCGGGCAGCCCCCCCTCCGGAAGTTTGAAGATTGGTTCGTTCAGTTTCCCTTCCCCCTAGGGCCAAATTGTGTTCAAATGCCTTACCCAAGTTCCCGATCTGATGGCAAAGACAACATCAGCGACCGTTGACAAAGCTTGAAATGTTAGACCTTGAAGGCATTTTCATTTAAGCGATTCGCTCAAGGAAGGGAACTCTTCTGGCATTCATGGGCTTGAAAGTAAAGATTGTATTCATCGCTGAGCCAGTCTTTCCGTCGTCTAAGATGTCAGCTGTCTCCTTGCCTCAAACTCCGTGCGACGCCCGACAGAAAGAGTCATCGTCCCCAGTACCTCAGCGTATCTCTGAGGAGTAGAAAAAAATAGATGACTGCTACCTCACACCAGTCTCCCGCAGGAGTATGTAGATCAGTTCCTAGGTACCTCGTTTTCAGAACGAGGGGTGTACATATTTTATCACTTCAGTCGCAATTTTCAACTTCTCTGAATGTAACTTCATTAGTTTTGCTGCTCAAGATAAGATAATGAGGTCAGACGAGTACCATAGCATTTTCATCTATCCACCTTTTGGCGTTATTTTCATTCTCGGCCTTGTCCTTGGCGTGTTGGTGTATTATTACAGATATAAAATTCCACTGGATCGTGTCATTTGCTGGAGTACCACAAGCTTATTTTCCGATATATTCAAGGAGAAGAAGAAGAAGACTGGTTGTCCCGGAGAAACAAAGTGGCTGTTTAAAGACATTAATCTGACAGCACAGAAGCCATTGTTATTTAAGGTCCAAGTCACATTTTTGACCCTGTGTTTTGTGATGTTTGCCTTAGTGCTGCAAACTTTTTGGCAGTTCCTTGTATGGGAGGCAAGCTACGACTGCGATGAAGATGACCCTACAAAAGACTGCTTCGAACTCAAATCGCGTTCGAAGCCGCAAGATCCACTAAACTGTAGCAGTGCTGCCGTTCAACATCTGATTCAAAATGGAACCATACAGGTCATCTGCCACAAAATCGTCTTTAATTTAGGATTGGCCACTGGTATAAGTTACAGCTCATTCAAGCTCCTTATGTTCGTCGTTGAGGCGGGAACGGGTGCAATATTGATGATTAAGACAGAAAGGATGCTACTAGGGGTGCGAGTTTCTGCTGTAGTGCTGTTTCTCGTTACTATCACCCCGCTTATTGTTGTTAGCGGAGTTATCCCTTCGGCACAAATATTTTTTTTGGATCACTGGGACACTATCCTTCAGATAACAGCCACAGAAATCCTTGCAATAGCATTCCTATGCCATATTCCCTGGTGGGAGCTCATTCGCTTGAAAACCCTGGGAGAGAACCAGCAAGATACTCAGGCATCTGTATCGACCCAGACGCCACTTGAGTAGAGACTTGAAATATTTCTAGTAAGTACCTGAACCAGTTGATGAAACAATGCTTGAGTGACTGAACATAACTTGTTTACTTCCTACTATGGGTGCGGTAGCTGGCACAAATAGCCTTGTGCCTTGTTCTTGTAGTGGGTTTTTTCGGTGAGTGTTTACCCCTAGATTTATTCTTGCCAGACAGCTAGTATTTAACCAGAACGGCAAAATTTAACTCATATCTGTTTACCAAGTATGAGTAAACATCAGCGGCACTCTAACTAGGAACTAGTTAATAGACTATTTAAGGAAGTTATACAAAGCGAACAGAACAAGCTCCATGACCTTGTTTCTACTCGTAACACATGTACCTTAATCCTAAGAAACATATACAAGTTTAGGCCCGTATTCAAGACGAAGAGATTTCGTAACATTCTTGCCGTGCCACTTTTAGTGCCCTTAGGGCCTGAACGATTTTTCTAGACTTAAATATTTCTTCAACATATTTAATTTACTAACACAACATGTTTACAAACATATTTTAATGCAGACTTGTTTAAAAACTACTGGTAGTCCTTTTAATGTAATTATTAAAATTGTCGTTTTGTAATAATCGTATAAATCAACTTTTGGTAGCAAAGTTGTTATCAATAAACTATCTATCTATCTGACGAGTCATTGCATCATAATTCCTATGCGTTATTCCTTGGAAAGAACTCATGGTGTTGTACGCTGCGAGGAAGCATTTAGATATTGCGCCAACAAATTACTCGCTTTGAAAATCTGTTCCAAAATCTTCAGACGCATATTTGAGGTTTATATCTAAAGAATGTCTAAAATAGGTATGTGAAACGGTTGTTTAGATAGCGCTTCCTATAACTTTGCGCATTCATTTATCATAGTTTTATACTAGAGCATCGACATGTATGGCCATTTTGGGGTTTAAATCGCGAGGGCTTCTTGTTTACCCACACTAGGAATAACTTTGTTTTACTGCTAGAAATGATGCGGTGAGAAAATGAAACGTTTAGGAAATTAAGAAGACATTTGTTCCGAGATTGTTTATCTTCTTGCAAAGAAGGTTACCGAAGCACGTAATGCAGATTATGTAAATCAATTCTTACGTTTGTTTATTGTAAATCATATCCAACGATGCAAAGCCTTTCTTTGTCGTGAGGACGTGTTGTTTCAAGGACATGATTTGCGTCGAAGCCGTAACTCGATACTCTGATCTAAAGCAAACACTTGTGGCGGAATTTACTCTGCAAACGAAATTGCGTTGTACTTGGTGTTTCGGGTCATCCAGAGACTTAAAGCGTAAAAGCCCTAACAATCTTACCATAATCGTCAGTATTCTTGCATCTAAAAAGCTTAACAAAATACGAATAATATGGAAAAACTAAGATCACAAAATATTGCAAAAAAGAGTTGAGCTAATGGCTATGCCACTGACCCAAAACACTATCATCATTATTAGATGAAAGTCAATCAAATCAAAAGTGCTATATTTTAAATAACTTAAAATGAATTCGTGTCGGGGTTAAGTTAATTACGTTACTTGTAAGCACTGACTGCTTCCTCTAGAAAAGGACATTAGAGCGTTTATCCTCT